CATTTCCTCACAAAATTTCAGCTAGATCTGATCATCCTGCTAGGAGTAGAACATGGAAGTATAAAAAATGACATTTCCTTTCACCACTAGGTGGCGCTCTCACTATTACTGAATATTATCACATAGACGTGTTCAGGGCGGGACTCTTATCAAACATGAGAAGTTTTGTTGAGATGCTAAATCCAAAATGGCCGACTTCCTGGATTTTTGGTTCGTCTGGATAAGATCTACGCGTGTGCCGATTTTTATGCATATCGGTGAATGGGGCCCCGGATGGTACAGTTTATGGGCCCCTGAGGGGCCATTTTGCCATGCTTATAGTGGAACCCTGAAAAATACAAAAAAAAATTACCACGACTGACATGTGCGCCGCGTTTCATGAGTTTTCGAGCATGTTGCGGCCTCCAAATATGTGATCGAAGTGGCAGAAAAATAAAAATAATTCCTTCCATTACAATAGGGCCATCGCACGATTTGTGCTCGGGTCCTAATTATTCAGTTGAAGCAAATCAGCATACCATTTCAGTACCATTTCTGATGCTCACTTATGCAACAGGGCCCAACTTCTGTTCTCCAAATACATGCAGTTAAAATAGTTCATATATTAACCTGGGCTGCTGGATTCAACCAGTTTGCTCAGTCTGAACATAAATGATAACCCGTGGCAGTAGTTCATCATAGCTTCTCCGTCTTTTGTCTCGGGTTATCTCTGATCTGCTCTCCTGTTGCACAAGTTGGATATCAGCTCCATTTCAAATTCCTGAAGAGAAATTATTTTCTCTTTAAGCTCCTCCATCAAGTTATGAACATGTGAATGTTTAATGTCAAGCGCTTTAGAAGTCTCCTCACAGACAATCAGACGAATTAATTTTCATTCTGCACTTTGCGTCTGCATGGTGCTCCTCCGTGTTTGCCCTTCTTAGCTCAAGAGGTCAACTTGCTTGATGCTTGACCACCTATCAAACAAACGATTGTTGAGTTCTGGTTTAGCATTGATTTACTCCAGTTACACCAAGCTTCAAGCATGAGCAACGCACCTTTTTATCCACTCCAGGGAGCAAATGACTGAATGCAGCAGCAGTACCAAATGCCAAATGTAACAGCTTTTGATTGAAGTTTTGTATGTTTGGGTAAGTATTTAACCATATTATATTGCCTCTTCTTCACCTCTGAGTGGTCATATAAAACCAAGGATGTGATCTAGATCTCTCATTGAAGACATTTGACATGTCATTGCAAGTCAAGTAATAAATACAGTGTGGAGCCTGACCAATATGGGATTTCTTTAAAACCAATACTGATACCAACTGGAGATTTCAACCTGCTGATCTCACAAAGCAGAACACCTCCATTTCTATAGTAGAGTAGACACAGCATCTTTCTTCATTCCCCAGCCAGGCCATAATGTTGCTGTGGAAGAGTTCCATGCTTCTCATAAAGAAGCACATGGTACCGTTTGGAGTCTGTAGGAGACTGCTTTTTTAACATGTGGTTAACGCTCATAGTCTAGTTAGGTTTTGGCACCAAAACTACTCAGGTTAATTTTGGCTTTACACAGGACATGAAACCTGGTCTCCTGGGTGAAAGATCTGTGTTTGTTTGACCCATACATCCACCTCCTTACATCAACTTACTCTTTACACTACATTACCTCAGGCGGATGGGTCCCATTTGACAGTGACAAAATGTTGGTATTTGAAAGCCTTTGGGCTGTGAAATCCCTTGTTCAGTCTAGTCTATGTATAACAGACACTCAATAGCTCACTCTATAGTGAGCAGCTAATTGAAATTCCAGAAACATACGAATCATTGTTGTTTTGCAGTGTAGAGTCTCACAACTGTAATGTTTCTATAAAATGTGATGCTCTGGATGGTGGGATTGTCAGCAGAATGTAGTGTGTGTGTTGTGAAGTGGCGGACAGCTGACTAAGTCCTGAGCAGTTGTGACTGCACAAATAGCTCTTTATTTAGTTTGTCCTTAGTGCGAAATGTATAAGCAGAGGGAAATGCATTACAGCCTTGGAGCACAACCATAATGTAAATGCAACTAAACAACAACAAAGTAATTAATTGTGTCGCATATTTAAAGAAATGACTCTTATATTCCCAGACACACCTTCACAGTGGGAGAAGTGGAGATTTAAAATAGAAACTGTTAAAGTGAACAATTTAGATTCCTTGAGAGCAGTTTAATTAAACATTCCGCTTTAGGATCTGTACATTCATTGTAATTCAAAGTATGCATTAGATGCTGTCTGGGTGGTTGCAGAGTCCGTCATCGCTCTGGCTTGTCTGTAGTCAATAAAAGCTCTTTCAACACAACACCACGTTACAACTGTTCGCGGTCTCCCCTGCGCAGGAGCCAGTCGGAGTGCAGTGTCAGTGGCAGCGGACCGCTCTTCACCATGAAATCTGTAGGAACTCATTTGATTAAATTATGACTTTTATTATTGTTGAAAATTGGTAAACTGGTAGACACTGGAAAGCCGTGGACGACACGGGGCACCTGTCGCTTGTGCATTTTCAGTGTTTCGACTCTGGACATCTGCAAGTTAAAGAGCATCGGAAACCCACAAAGGTAGGTCATTTTCATGTTTCACACACATTTACCTGAAGACGCACAGCCTTCACACAGCGTCTATTCTCGCCCACAGTGTGTTGACTTAACTGGGCATGAATGCTTTCCCAAAAAGCAAACGATAGGTTCACCACAGTGAAATAACGACTAGCATGAACTTTCTCAACATTAACCTGTCAACTCCCTTTTGTTTCAACATAACTACAAAATGAGCAAAAATAATGACACAAACTACTCCAGCCCCCATAAAAAGAACGATGTGTATTTTCACCTACATTGCTTACTCTTATTTATTTGTTGCTTTTTGAAAATGGTGACGGTTTGCAGGAGTTGGTGTAAATAATATGATCATATATCTAACATAAAAAAATGGTTTTAATTAGTTGGCTGTGCCAGTGCTGTTTTGAAAATGAAATACATCATTTAAAACTGTTCCACAAAGCATCAGTTCCTCTATAAGAAAGGAAAACAATGATGATGTTATAGACAACACAGTGTCATGAATGCTACCAGGGTATCTCCATTTGTTCCCCAGCACACTGGATTTAAAACGAAACAGTCACAATGTAGTCATTCTGGTTGTTTCTTTAATTTTTGGTCATTAGTGCAGTGTAGCCCTTTTTATACAGAGCAGTGCAGCCTTTGTGCATGCTGGGATCACTGGCTCTGTCAGCAGCACCCCTCCAAACCCCCGACCCCAGAACCCCCCTTAGTTGATTGACACCTGAGACTCCCTGTCATGTTCTAATTAAAGCTGCTGCATCAATTAAGGGTGCAGGTAGCAGTACCTCATCCATAATGGCAGCAGGGTCATACTTGTGAAAGATGTTATGTTGTGGAGGCGTATAGTGCATGGCAGAGGCAGCCTCTCCTCCACTGTTCAAGTTCTTTGTCATATGCACAACAATTAAGCAGTCTTTGTTGATGAGATTTGCAAAATAGTTCTCAGGCTCCCTCCAACAATGCTGACACAATATATTTAAAAGGGAAATCACACTATTAAAAATGAGAATGCAACATAAAATAGTGTAAAAGTTCAAAAACATCATGTGTATAAAATAAAATCGGATAAGGCCAATGACGGTCGTATCACAGCAAACTTGATGATTGTGTTGGACCGTGTGTGAAAAGGAGTACAGGAGAGGGCTGAGCACGCAACCCTGAGGGGTGCCATGTGAGAATGAGGATGGAAGATGTGGTGGTGCTTATCCTCACAGCCTGTGGTCTGCCTGTCAGGAAGGTCAGGATCCAGTTACATAGGGTGGTGATGAGTCCCAAATGAGGCCCCTTAAGAACCTGTCTGAGCAATTTCCCTTTATATAATACTTGCACAAAAGGGTTTAGGAATAGCCATGAACCAAAAGACACATGAGTTTGTGTTTAAGTAAAAAATCGATTTGTTTTTAATCCGTTTGTGTCATTCCCACAGTCTTCTCCCACTAAATGCAGCTAACAACAGAAGCTGGCAAGATGATGTGACAGAATGTAAAGTTTGTATGGAAATATATTTCTGTTATTATCTTCATGGATATTATCTTCAACATATGACACACTTTATCTTAACTTATGTATTTTTACAGACGCATAAAGAATTGTTAGTACATAAGTAGAGAACAGGGAGCTTTTCTGACTATGTATATTTTTTAACATGTTTTCAACACTACAGAAACACAAGTTCACCACAAACTTTGGCACATATAGGTCCAAAACTGCAATACCCATACATAAGCAGGAAAATCACTTAAGTCAAGTAGACTTAGCTCAGAGATAAGATCATTTGAACTACAGTCAGTGAACGGCATTATTACGTGTTACTCTGGTCCAGGTGGGAGAGGGCAGTGTGAAGGGCTAGGGCAATGGCGTTGTCTGTTGATCTGTTTGGGCTATATACTCAAATTGTAGTGGATCCAGTGTGTCAGGAAGAGAGGAGGTGACGTAGGTTTTGACTAAATGCTCAAAACACTTGGTTTAGGTGAGTGCTACTGGGCGATAATCTTTCATGCAGAGGGCTTTGGTCTTTTTGGGGATAGGGACCATGGTGCACACACCTTGAGAGCTCAGCCTGGGATGCCATCAGATCCAGGTACCTTGGTGGGTTAATCCTTTTGAAGCATTTGAACACATCTGCCCTGGATCTTACTAGTGGGCAGGGGGTACTGGGCTTTTTTTTAACTCCTCAGCTGGGAAGTGATCTCAAAGCCTGCACAGAAGGTGTTCAGTTCATCTAGAAGAGATGCAGACATTATTTCAGCACCACTGGTCTATCTTTTCCGATGGTTCTTTATCCAGACCATGTGTTCCTGATGTTGGAGCCCTGGTAGTTAGACTCCATTTTTTCCCTGTGTTGTTTCTTAGTGAGACATCAATATTTACTCTTCTTACACCTGACTGGATGAACATACTGGGCTGTCTATTCTTTTCTGGCTGCTCTAGCATTAACAGATTTCTCCAAAACTATCCACCAAAAATAGTTCCTTTACAAATTAATAGTAGGCCATGCAGTTGCAGAATGATACTCAATATATTAAATGTACTTGTTACAAGGGATGCACAATAATTATCAGGGCACATGATCCAAAATGTATATTATTTTGAATTATCAGGATAATTAAATTACAGCTGATTAAATTATCAGTCTATAATAATAATAATATACTTTGAATTCTTATGCAAAATGATTGATAGCCTTTATGTTCTATGACAACCAAAGTATGTTGGTGAAGTTTTTTAATTAACTATTCTAAAGAAACTAAATGAACATTTGAAGCGTCAGAACAGTTCTTTGTTGTTGCGTAAACAATAGTGATGTCAGTTCAGTCAGCCAACTCACGTTTGAGATGTTTATTAAAGCAGTAACATTATAGATTTTTGGCGTCTAGGCTCCGACCTCATCACTCCCCACACATACGTTTACAGAGATATTTGGGGAGCGATGTGCAAATACCTTGACCCCCTGTCGGAGCCTACAGGTGGATGCTGGGGCTTACAGCGTAGAAAGGCAGCAATAGTTTGGAGT